TCCGAAGGCAGGGAGGGTCCTGTCTTTTCACCATTTTATCTTCCATGCCTGCCACAGTGCTTAGTATGCAGTAAATTGCTAAAGGAAATAAATGGATGGATGATGTTATTTGCTATAACGAGAGAAAATAAAGGTGAGAGAACAGGCTGGGCTTGTAAAAAGTGAGTATAAATGCAATTTCATTATAAATAACTACTGAATAAAGAAATAAATGTATGTAGGCTGATATAGTTTGGATATTTGTCCCCTCCAATCTCGTGTAGAAATTTGATCTCTAATGGTGGAGGTGGGGTCTAGGGGGAGGTGTTTGGGTCACGGGGGCAGACCCCTCATGAATGGCCCAATGCTGTCCTCATGGTAATGAGTGAGTTCTCATGAGATCTGATTGTTTAAAAGAGGCTGGCACCTTCCTCCCCTCTCTATCTTGCTGCCTCTCTCGCCATGTGACATACGTGCTCCCATTTTGTCTTCAACCATGACTGGAAACTCCCTGAAGCCCTCACCAGAAGCAGATGCAGGAGCCATGCTTCTTGTGTAGCCTATAGAACCATCAGCCAAATAAACTTCTTTTCTTTTTAAATTACCCAGCCCCAGGTATTCCTTTATAGTGATGCAAACAGACTAAGACATAGGAGACATATATAAAATACATATTATTATATATAAAAATATAATATATAATAATATGCTATATATTATATATATAAATATATAAACATAAAGAGAGAAAAAGAGTGTGGAGGAGAGACAGACCGATGTACACACTGGAGATTAGGAGATGATGACATATAAGTTTTAAACAGTTGAATTTGAGTTGTTGGCAAAATACTAACCAAAGATTTGATACCCAGCAGTGAGCCTGGCCAAATGGACAATCACCTTGGCCATTGTAGGCACTCACTGAAGTTGGTACGCATTTTTATATGTCAAAGTTCATGAACATATATAACCTTCTAATTTTTAATTTCAAAATATGTTATTTCGACACTGAATGTATCTTAAAATGTCCCTTCAAAAACATCCACAGAAACACTGACAGACTCAACTAAAACCCCATGTATAAGCATTTCTATAATCTATATTTTGCTTCTTGACAGTTACTCATTTTCTTAGCAATGTTTACTTTTTACTTTGATTAAAGACTTTCAAATACACTGTGATGTTTTATGTGTTTTTTTCCTACAAGAAAATCATACTTTATATTTCAGAGGACTCCAGGACATTGTTAACAAAGGCTAAATCAACATTGCCAGGAAAATCATACTGAGGAAAATATTCTGAATGTAAATACACTTGCACATTCTCTTTATTCCATTTATGCAGCTCATGGCCTCACAAAAAACATCAGTGTCTTTTGTATTATCCTTTAAGCATGCCCACTGCACAAAGGACTTGCAACTGGATGTAAATGTATCAGGAGGACTCCTGTGAGAATTCGTGGCCAGCAGAATTCACCCTGGGAGTGGGGGTGGAGTCAGGCTTTCTGTAGCAGCTGTCCTCCAGGAGAGAACTGGAAGAGGATGCAAATCCTTTCTCCCAAGCTGTTGGCCTCAATTCAGGCAAGTAATTTGCTTCTGAAGGATTAACCTCCTCTCCCCCCCAACAATCTAATCTTTCTATGTACAGATGCCACCAATATCTTTGTAGGTCAATTAATTCTACCGATGGAATTATTTATATAACAAAGATAACTTAAAGAAATTGGGTAAAGACAGAGAAACAAGACTTCAACTAGATGATCTGTTTCTTTAAAAATGCTGTTGGCAGAATAAAAAGCTAACCCCTCAAAAACAACTTGATGAATACATGTAAATGTTAAATCAAATATGCATAAACTACATATACAAGAATGAGGATCCTATTAACTCAGGTTTTGGGGACAAAAGCAAAAACAGCAACATTCTGATATGATACATACAAACAAGTAGTCTTCATCTCAAAATAGCTGTTTTCTTTCATTTTCCTACTTTCCACAATGCTGGCAGAGGAGTTTCATGGGGAAAAAAACTTGGAGGTTAAAAAAAACTTACTGCTTAAGTAGAACAGAAAGGGGAGAAACAAAGGCAAAAATAGTGTAAAGCTGGCTGTCAGTGACAACTGCTAGGCAGAGCCAGTCTACCTGTTCTTGATGGTCTTTTGTCCCCACATCTTCTTCCATACTCCCTTCATTTTCCACTTCAGTTTGCCCAGTAGCAGACAGGAATCTAATCCTTTACTCTGGATCAGTTAACAAGCATAGTCACTTAAAAGGCTAAAATGTGATGGGAAGTCAGACATTCAGAGACTGAATGTAAACCAGGCCATGCTATCTGCTCTCTTCTCACCCTCAAGATCCACTGGAATTAGGAAAAGTTTTTTCCCCCATACATATGCTTCATTGTATTCATATATTACTTGTATATTCCTCATTATAAAAGTGCCACATAGTACAGAGATTGACAAAGTAATTAGAAAAAAGTTTTGACTGGGGCATAGAGAGGGTAATTTGGATTTTTAAAATCTATGAAGAATACTCTATATCTGAGTGTGCTTATGAAGCAGAGGGCTTGAAGAAATGTGTGAACCCTGTACCCCTAGAAAGAATGGGGGGTGGGTAGAGTTCATAGGGCACAAAAGACAAATTTTCTATAATTTAAAACTTTGTCTAAGAACAGCTTTGAAAGCAAGAAAGGGAGGGCTTCCTTCCTTTCTTTACTCCCTCTGTGCTCAAGTTTCTTTTTGTTTTCTCTTCTTTTTTTTTTTTTGAGGCAGGATCTCACTTTGTTGCCCTGGCTAGAGTGCAATGGCATCATCATAGCTCACTACAACGTCAAACTCCTGGGCTCAAATGAGTCTCCTGCCTTAGCCTCTGGAGTAGCTGGGACTACAGGCACATGCCACCACACCTGGCTAATTTTTTCTATTTTTTGTAGAGACCAGGGTCTCAGTCAGGTTGGTCTCGAACTCCTGACCTCAAGGAATCCTTCCACCTCGGCCTCTCAGAGTGCTATGATTACAGGCATGAGCCACTGCACCTATGCCAGGCCTTGCACTCAACATTTTTAGCCTCATTTCTCTCCCTCAATCCAAAATTCAATATATTACTAGTATTATATATGTATTTACATTGAGGGTCAAACAGGCTTTTACAGGTTAAACTGAGATAATATCACTCAAAATACTCTTTATATAAAAATGATTGAAATGCCAATCAAATACGTTTAGAGCATAATTTAAATTAATGCTTGCCTCCTATATAAAGACATAAAGTAAGAGGAGAAAATGTGATTTCAAGAATTGAGGCTCTCAAAGCAGAACACTAGGTCTTTGACCTAGTAATATAATAGATACTTACATTACCTAATACTGGATTTTTTTATTTTAGAAAAGTAAATTTGGTCACCCTCACTGTCTACACTTTATTACATTTGAGAAAATGCCAAGTTCAAAGCTGAGTTTCCTCTGTCCTTCCAGCTTGTATCTCTCTAGGTAGGATGGTTAAAATAAATTATCCTGGGGAAAGAGGAGTTGGGCCCTAAGAAAATGGATCTAACACTAGAGGAAGCACAGAGGAGGAACAGGAAATTGTGCCACTGGGAAAAGTGGTGGACACACTGTAAGAAAGGGCTGGGAAGGAGAGCTGGGAAGGAGGGCTGGGCATTTCCTTCCTCTTCCCTCTGGCTCAGTCTCCAACCTACACTTACGTCTCCCCCTTCCAGCTCTCTGCATCCTCTTTCCAGCAGCTCTCTTTCTTCCCTCCTACTCCCAACTCTACTTCTAAAATATCTCTATCAGTTAATTCTAGAAGACGATAGGGGCCCAAACTGACTGAGAGAAATACAAATGATTAACAGAAATTTTTAAAAAGATGTCTAGCCTCAGTAATTATCTGAGAACAGGGAATTAAAACACAGATACTTTGCAAAGGTCTTGAATAAGGGTGGAGGGGGGTAGATAGTCAGATTGCTTTTTCTAAACATCTGCACATACACGTTTGACTCTAAATTTAAATGCAACCCAACCTGTTCAAGATTTAAATGAGCTTTCAAAAAATTTTTACAATAAAAAAAATTACTGGTGTTTTGGTATTTTAAAATAGCATAGAACACTGGAATGACAAAATTGATATTACAATTACCTGCTTTCAATGGCCAGTGTATACCGTAATGAAACCTAAAGTTTGTATGTCTGATAGGAAAGCTATGCCATCCCGGATATTACACGTAAGCCAGTGATGCTTAACTCTAGGTGTGCATCAAAATAGCCCCACTCTCAATGATTCTGCAGGTTGGGCCAAGGCATATTTTTTAAAGCTTCATAGTTGATTCTGATACACACTTCTGGTTAAGAGCAACTATCCTAGAGGATGTTAAATATTATTACACTTAATTCCCAATGTACCGTACTCAGTCACAACAAAACTTTAAAATTACATATGCAGAACTGTTTTGCTTACAAATTCATGACTAATTTCATAATCTCTTTGGGTTTGTTTTTTTTTGATAAGCACCAGAGTAGCAGTTGAAAAAACTTTCCTTCCCATACCACCAGGAAGTTATTTAAAATTAAACAGATCAAGTCAGAGTATAAAAGGTAATAAATTTAGAGGTAGGCTGGGAACCAGGTGTTTACTTTGGAAAGTAGAGCTATCGGTCTACAGCATGAAGGAAGGAATAGGTAGGAGTGAAGCTAGGATAGAAAGAGAAGCCATACGGTCACCAAATTCTTCCTGAAACACATCCTCATAGCATGGCATGGCTTCATTATTTTATTTATTACTACATTAATGAGAACTCACCCTGTAGACTCATGTTCAAATGGAAAGAAAAGTATTACCCTAGATGTAATCTGTTTTTCAGATCACGTATTTTTATATTATCTATGTAAGTTACTACTACTAATATTAAAAATCAAGAGCTAATTGTACTATTTGGATACCATGGGCTGGTATCTCAACCTCAATTTATTTACTTTTATTTCTCATCTATGTACTATGAAAAAACCAAAGTTTATTAACATACCTTGGGTCAAGAAGACTCCTCAAAAATTTGAAAAGCAAAACCTGGTTCTGAACAGAAAAACAATAAAAAATACAATTAAATATTAAAACAAATTTTTCAAATTATGCCATGGTAAAGAATTACTCTAAATGATCCCTTTAAAATGAACAGATATATGACTATTTCCATTAAGCCCTCTGTAGAGATCTAAGAAATTCTAAAGAATCACTTGGAGGTCCTTTATGTCCTCTCAGTAATTCTCATCACTGTTGCACATTCCATTTTGAGTGCAAAGGGAACACAAACACCCTGATATCACCAAAAAAAAGACCTCTACTGAGACAAATCCCTGAACTGTTCCCAGCGGGAGGACTCTCTCGGAGTATCAGGTGCTTGGAACTGCTCTACCGATGGTGAGTTCTGGCTGCAGCAATAGGTTTCACACTCCAACACCTGGTCTTTCCGTGACGATGGGCTGCCACGAGATAGTTAAACTCAGTAGGGTGGGAATTCACCACCAAGTTCACCAAGTTCACCACCAAAGAAAGCTCATTAACTCCACAATTTAATCAACTACAGAAAAGATGACAATCAAATTACAACATGTCGGCAATCAATATGCCATAAAATCTGAGTTCTGTTTCTGCCACTTATTTGCTATGTGACTTTGTGTTAAGTCACTTATTCTTTTAGCAATTTGGTTTCCTTAAGTGAAAAAAAAACAGGACAGCAGTATCTCCTGTGTCTCTGTACAGGGTAACGGTGAGGATTCAATGAGATAAACCTTTGAACACTATATAAATAATGTTTCTACGTTCTTGGAAAACCTAAGTGAAAATCATTACTGTTTAGTTTTACTTCTTTTTTTATTTTTTGACATATTCAAAGCTTACCTGTAAAAAGCAAGTGGACTCTCAAAGCTGAAAGGATTAATGTCATTTAGAATATGACTTCTAAAATACATTTATCAGTCTTTGACTTTCTATTTTTTCCCTATCACTTTGTTTCATTTTACATGGCTTTCCTCCTGGTTATAACTTAACATTCTGGCTTATTTTTCATTTCAAGAATTCTGAAAACAATTGGTCAGAGGCATATTTCTTGCCATAAAAAGTAAAGGTGGTTTATAAGATTTGTGTGTGACTCACACAATCAATAAAGCTCTGCAATGAAATAAATACTTCATTTCTTTTGAAAAATATGTCTAAGACTCCATAAGCATCTAGATCACATCCAAACAGCCACCTTTTTCTTATCCATTATACTTCAGCTTTTATATATTTATCTGAAGAATTATATTCATTTACCAGGACTCTCTGTCTTTTAACATCCTTAGAGACTACAAAAAAGAGAAAACCCTGTAATTGATAATCTTAAATTTTAAAGGACAATGACAATACCACCACTACAACAGGCGAGATTTACCAGAACTGCTGACTTTGAAAGGGGAGAGATGCTCTGGAGGTCGAGAGTAGCTTTAGCAGAAACGTCCTCCCTCCACCCCTCGCTAGATTGGATTTCATGTCACTCCACGTACTTCCTCAGTACCCTGGGCAGTGCTCTGTCATCCTTCAAGTCAAACTATTCTGTAATTGTCTTTTGGCTTGTCTTCTTCTTTGAGAGGAGGGATCACATTATGTTTTTGTATCCTCAGCACTTAATGCTTTTGGCCCACAGCAAGTACATGAATACTTATTGTATTAATGGATGAGTCTTTATAGGAGAAACAGAAGGAACAAAAGCTTCTCAAATTCCCTGTCAATGAATTTCACTCTTGAGCTTAAAGCAATAACTTGAAGAAATGAGAAAGTATAGTTGCAACTTCTCTGGTTAAAGTTTTGCTTAAAAAAGGTCAGTAATTCTCCAGTACACAGAAGATATCTTCAATTTCAATTTCTTAGCATCACATATAAGACTCATCTATATCAGGCCCCAAGCTATATTTTCCAGCCTCTATAATTTAGTACCTTCCCTCCAAACGATCTCTTATAGCTTAATCTAGTGCCACTTCTACCCTACCACATCATGCTTTGCACAGACCTGGCCATTCTCTGACCGAGAATGCTGTTTCATGCCTTCAGGGCTTTACATCCCCACGTCTTCTTTATGTAGAAAGCCTTTCCCAATTCTCTGCTTGGAAAACTGATACCAATCATTCCAGACCAGTTTAGGTATCTCTGGGCATTTGTCTTTCTCCCAGTGCATCACTCTCTTCTCTTGTTCCTACAGCACTTTTTATATATCTCTAGTGAAGCTGTTTTAACACTGTACTGTAGTTATGTGCGTAAGTGCTTCTCTGTTCCACAGGAAAAATAAAGGAAACGTGGCATTCTTACTCGTGTCCCCAGAGCCTAGCACACTGGTACAAAGTGGGGTCACGATAAGTATTTAAATAAATGAACTCCATATTTTTGTCTCTTGTGCCAGCTGTTCTGGTTTTCACCTTGAACAGGTATTCCCCACACTATTATTGCCACTTGTAGACTCTGAGTTGTGCTTCATGTCCCTGTCATTGTCCTATCCCTACTCTATCACTTGTGGCCATAACAGCAGTTCGTAAGCCCAACACTAGCACTCCCATGGGAAGTGGGCAGTGGAATAGTAGGTGATTTAAATAGTACTTCTGACTGGGCTTCTCAATATTCAGCAGTATGCAGCTGTATTCTAATTAAGATTTTCCAAGAAAAATTCCAAATACTCAAAACTAATGCCATCTGAGGATGACAAAGTCCTAAATAAATAATACAAATCTCAAAGGTCGTGAGTCCTATAGCAAAAGAAGAAAGGATCTTTTGTGGATTATGACTTCTAAACTAAGTACAGGTTATAGTTCCAAAAATGTTTCTTTGATGTTAATATTTGTTATATATTAATCCAAAGATGAACTCCCTCATTTCCAAACACAGAGATCATCACAAAATTGTTCTCAAATACACACACACAAACACACAAGCAGAGACAATGTATAGAAACTGCTATCAATCAATTGAAGAAATTACTACAATCAAAACTTCTTAGGTGAAATTTAATCATTGTCTCCCCACTAGACTTTTTTCCCCATATGTTTTAACATTTACCTGAAGTTTTTTAATGACTGTTTCAATCTGTCCAGAAAAGTGGGTAGCAACCAGCTCCGCAGCTTTACAGGGCTTCAGAGACACAAGTTCCTGGAGTTAAAGGAAAAGACAAAGTCATCTTTAATGGTTCATTTAAACAGAATATCTATAGACGTGAAGCATGATTACCAACCCCAATACTGTCACAAGCGTCCACACTGCATTTCAGAAGACCTTGATATAGGGCCTCAATTTAAAGGGCACATTGCAAATGAGCAAAATTAGAAATGTGCCATGTAAAAAATCAGAATTTCATTTTTTTAGAAAAAGGTAGTTTAGAATTCTTAGAAAATGAAAGCATTGTAAAATTCTGAATTTCAGCCACGATATCTATAGGAGAAACAGAAGGAACAAAAGCTTCCCAAATTCCCTGTCAATGAATTTCAACCTTGAGCTTAAAGTAATAACTTGAAGAAATGAGAAAGAATATAGTTGCAATTTCTCTGGCTAAGAATTCTAAAACTTTACTTCTGGTGCCTAATGGATTTAGAAATTGCACATGTCTTAAGAAGCAAACTTAAGGCCCTAAGTTTTAAATGAGACTAAGATGTTAACCACTGTTAATTAAATTCTGTATAAGACCTATTTCTGTCAAATCTAAAACCTCTAATCTGCCTTCTCCTTGAACTTTCCTTGACACTACTGGCTATCCTTTTCTTCTTGAAACTATCTTCTTACTTGGCTTCTGTCACCGACTATTCTACCTTTCCAACTGCACCTTCTCTGGGGGAACACTGTGACAAAACACAACCATGATACATGGCTAAAATGCAAAGACTGAATATATACCAACATAGCATATTACCAAATAAAACTGAGACAAGTTATTGTGACTATGATATTCATGATATATCTAGTAACTACTGCATTAAGTAGTATTTGTAGATTAATAATAATTAGCTGACACAAAAAACTGGAGTTTACAGTACTTTAATACCTCTCCAAAGAGAGAAAGTATAACTAATCAATATCACAAAAAAGGAGATATTACTATTGATCTGCAGAAATTAAAAAGCTAAGAAACAATTAATTTATGTCAAGAATTTGGAAATTTAGACAAAATGGAAAAATTCCTAGAAAGTATAATTTAATAAACTGACTTCAGAAGAAATATTAATACCATTAACAACAGCATTAGAAAATATGAAGTTGTGACAGTAAATCTAACAAGGATGGAAAATCTCTATAGAGAACATTATAAAACTTTATAGAAAGATCTTAAATAAAGGATTATAGGTGAGAAGACCCAATATTGTCAACATTGTCAATTATCTTCAAAATGATTGACAGATTCAATGCAATGCCTGTCAGAATCACAAAGTTAAAAAAATTTTTGTGAAACTTGATTAGCTGATTCTGAAATATATTTGAAAGTATAAAAAGTCAACATAGCCAGGACTTACCTAAAGACAGCAAGACTTTATTACATAGCAACATTATTTAAAATAGTGTTGGATGGGCACGGTGGCTCATGCCTGCAATGTCAGCACTTTGCAAGGCTGAGATAGGAGGATCGCTTGAGGCCAGGAGCTTGAGACCAGCCTAGGCAACAGTGAGACCTGTCTCTACTAAAAATAGAAAAATTTGGGCCAGGCGCGGTGGCTCACGCCTATAATCTCAGCACTTTGGAAGCCAAGGTAGGAAGATCACTCGAACCCAGGAGTTCGAGGCTGCAGTGAGCTGTGATCGTGGCCACTGCACTCTAGCCTGGGCAACAGAATGAGACCCTGTCTCTAAAAAAAAAATAGCCGGATGTGGTGGTGTGGGCCTGTGGTCCCAGCTACTCAGGAGGCTGAGGCAGGAGGATCACTCGAACCCAGGAGTTCGAGGCTGCAGTGAGCTATGATCGTGGCCACTGCACTCTAGCCTGGGCAACAGAATGAGACCCTGTCTCTAAAAAAAAAATAAATAGTGTGATTGGTGTGGTACAGATGCAGAGACAGACAAACCAATGAAACAGAAGGTGGTCTGGAAAAACAGACCAAGTGTACATAGATCCTTGATATACTTATGACAAAAGCAGCACTACCGAGCAATGGAAAAACGCAACCTTTTAACATAACTGCTGCTGGGCAAATTGGGCATCTGTATTCTAAAAAAATTAACTGGACCTCATGGTATGTACAAAAATTTCTTTCAGGTGGACCTCAGATCTAAAGATAAAAAAAAAAAAAACAAGAAAGAAAAGAGGACATACAGAAGAGGAAAAATGATTATTTTGTCTTCTTAAAAATAAAAAAAAGAACAAAATACCCTTTTCTTAAGAAGAACCATAAAAAGACTGAAAGGAAAAGCCACAGAGGGGGAGAAGATATTTGCAATATATCTCACTGAGAAAAGACTAACATCCACGATACACAAAGAAATCCTACAAATCAATAAGAGGCATTCAAATGAAAAATGAGCAAAAGATTTCAATAGGCACTTCACGAGAGAGAAAATTTTGTTTTTTCTTTTTTTTTTTATTTCAGGATATTATGGGGGCACAAACATTTTGGTTACATGTTATGACTTTGCCACACAAAAATCATGACTTGAGGTGTGCCCCTTCCCCCCTACAACGCTCGTCATGTCCATTAGTTGTGAATTTACCCACCCCCAACCCCTCAACCCCCAAAGAATATTACTACTGCGTGAGCAACTTAGTGTTCATCAGTTAGTGCCAATTTGAAGGCGAGTACATGTAGTGCCTATTCTTCCATTCTGGTGATACCTCACTTCGGAGGATGGGCTCAAGCTCTATCCAGGAAAATATAAGAGGTGCTAGATTACAGTCGCTTCTTATAATTGAGTGGTATTCCATTGTATGCATACACCATATTTTACTAATCCACTCATGGATTGACAGGCAATTCGGTTGTTTCCACAACCTTGCAATAGTGAACTGTGCTGCCATAAACATTCGATTGCAGATGTCTTTATTATAGAATGACTTTTGTTCCTTTGAGTAGATGCCTAATAGTGCTATTGCAAATGGTATTTCTATTTTTAGCTCTTTGAGGTATCTCCAGATTCTTTTCCATGGAGGTTGCACTAATTTGCAGTCCCACCAGCAGTGTACAAAAGAGAAAATTTAAATAGCCAATAAACGTAAGAAAAGGCTGTCGATTGAATTAGTAATTAAGGAAATATAAATCTAAAACAAAATGAGATATTATTACACATCCACTAGATTGGCAGTTTTAAAGTCTGGCAGATACAGAGCCAGTGGGAATTCTCACACAGCGTTGGCATCCAATAAAGTTTAAAATATTAATCTCAACTAACTAGCAATTATACACCCTAGAGCAGAGATTATACATTAGCATTGATCAGAATCACTTGGAGGGCTTGTTCAAACACATTTTGCTGGGCTCCACCCTTAGAGTTTCTGATTCAGTAGGTCTGAGGTTGAGACTAAGACTTTGCATTTCTATGAAATTCTCAGCTGATGCTGGTTTGGGGATGAAACTGAAAATCCCTGCCCTAGAGAAATGCACATGGCTGTGCTCAAGATGCAAATATAAGAAGGATCATAAACAGACTATTTTTAATAGTCAAAGACTAGAAACAACTGAAATGTCTATCAGCAGCAGAATAGATAAACTGGTATACTTTCAAAATGGAATGCTGTACGATAAAAATGAACTGCAGCAACTACATAAAACAAAATCTATAAACTTCGCACACAAAATGTTGAGCAAAAGTAAGACAAAAAATAGAATGAAATTTCATTTACATAAAGTTCAAAACCAGGCAAAACAAAAACATAAATATTAGGGTTGCATATATATGCAGTAACAGGATACAAAAAGGCTAGAAATTGTCACAAAACCCAGGATAATGGATATATTGGGGAGGAGAGGGAAGCAAAGAATTATGATCAGAAAAGGATACATGGGAAGAGTCTGGGGTACAGGAAATATTCTCTTTCTTGTTCTGGGCCTAGGATGTTTGCTTTTTAATTTTTAAAATTAAACTATACATTTATTTTATGTTCTTTTCTGAATCCCTTTTATATTTCAAAATAAAAAATGTAAAAAAAAAAAAAGAAACCTAATGAAACATGTTTCCTCCATATTAGAAAAACCATCTAAACCAGAAATTCATTAGCTGGAGTCCACAGACCTAATCTAAGAATGGCTTTTAGGGGTCTGTGGATCCCCAAAACTATAAACAGAATTATGAATCTATGCATATGTGCAATATTATGAGGCACAGGTCCAAATCTTTCATTAGATTTTCAAAAGATGTCTAGAGCCCCAGAGGTGTTAAGAATCACTAAGCTATAATCTGTGTCTATTGTTAGAATACTTCATTATGATGACTTTTCCCCCTATGTATTTAATGTTGATTATATTAACATTACTGAAGACACAGAAATCCTTGAAAAAAAAGTCTATATGCTTGTAATTGTGGCCTTAAGAGATAATAAAAAGTTCAAGGTGAAAAAATGTGCAGATGTGGAAAAAATAGTCAGCAAAAATAATTGTGTAGCAAAAATACTTCTTTCTTCTACAGCTTAAGTTTTCTGCTGAGTAATTTGTTTGCTCATTGATTAATTCATCACATTTCACATAAGGCAGAGAGATATAGCTTCATTTTTGGATGTCTGGAGCCCATGTGCTCAAACCACTGTATAATGCAGATGAGGTGAAATGAAAAATGAACCATAAAGTAAATATGCAGACTTGAAGAGGATGATGAAAAAGAACATGAAATGATTAAAGGGAAAATATATAAAACTCAAAATTGGAGAAGGTCTTGGGTTCTTTTGCCAAGATATAGTCATCTTGTTGTTAGCAGGAATATGACAACATTAAATAACATATGCCGTGTTCTCAATCCTATACATGAGAGTGTGGAAATTACTTCGGGCCACACATCTCATGACTGACTCCACCACCTTTCAAGCCAGATGTTTCACAGAAGATACTGTTCACATTTCTGAGCTTTCGAAACTTTACAACCTTCAGGAACTAAAACAAAGTATTCACATCACGTGCAATGTTTCTCAGAGATCATCCTTTCTTATAATTTTAAATAACTATAAAAACTTTTAAAACATATTGAATAATCATATCTTTCACTACATCTCTAAATCTATCACTTGACTGTTGCTATGAGAATATGAGAAGAATGAAAGAAACTCTGCAGATATAAATGTTATTTTGAAAACTAGGATTACCTCAGTATCCTTCCTTACTGTTTTTTTAATAATCAGAAATAAACACAATAGAATATATAAATAACATAAAACATACAAATAAACATAAAGCAGAATAGATTTCAACAAAACTTCTAGCTCTGTTGGTTTCTGAGGTAAAAAGTATGTCATGAACATAAAGAAACTAAAGCGAGGAGTGATTTTTGGGCCCCTTTTCAGAATACATTCTGATCACATGTTTTTCACACATGTAGTCTCTCCATTTGGACATCTATAAGCATGTTTTTAAAAAGGACTTTTTGTTTTGACACTGAAGTCAATTCTTAAATTCTTGTAAAACAGCACGCACAAACAAAAGCAGTGAATCAGCTGACCAAGCTAGGTCAGAATCATTGTCCTGTTACATAAGGAAGGGAAAAATACGAGAGAGAAAACTCACTGCAGTAATTTTTCTAAAAGTCCATTGGGTGATTGGAGGGAATGACTCCCATTATGTTATTAGGAAAAAAAAGATCAGCAATACTCTTAGAATCATTCTATGAACTTAGTGGGTAAAAACCCACTAATATTCCAATTTGTCACTAGCTGATCGAACATGGGCTATTTTCAGAAGTCATGACATAATAAACTGGCTGTGACATAGGCTTTAGGAATACAAATATGAAGTAGAAAAAATTATATGAAAAAGACTACTCCTCAATTAAATCAACTTAATAATATGATACCTGCCATTGTCTAAATAACATAAAGTTAATTTGGGTTAAACGACCACTCAAATAAGTTTAAAATGTTTTGTTGAATTGGTACCTCAATATGATCCATTGCTTTCTGCCATACAGACTGCTTTTCCTCTGTACTGTGTCCAGGAATGGATAAGATATTGTGAATGTAATTAAAAACTTCCTCCTGAAGAGCACAAGACAATATAATTTATCCATTCATTCACTTAAGCAATATTTAGTCACTATCTACTATCTGTACCAGTCATAGTCAACAACTATTAACATTATTTGATGATGGAAAATTATTTAGAGTAGTTAACTGATGAAAAACTGACACTAAAATGAGTAATTGTTCAAAGTTTAGCGTAGAATTTTAGAAGCAACAAACCTGTACCAATTAGTTTTGGTTTCAATTTACTTATTTTCAATGACCTAATGAGGGAATATCATACTTTTCTTTTTGGTGATCCCTGTCCCCATTCTCAATTTCATCTCAAATCACTCTTACCCTTGTCTATTATGTTCCACCTATACCTTTTTTGCTTAATCTATATGATCTCTCTGTTTAGTTCCTTGAAGATGTCAATTTTTTCCCCACCTCAGGTCCTTTGTATATACCATTCCCTATCCTGGAACACTCTTCCCTTGGCTCTTTGCTTGACTGGCTCCTCAACTTCCAAAACTCAGTTTCTATGTCACTTTCTCTGAGATTCTTTCCCTGGCTGCTTGGGATAAGTCAGTTCCTCTAAAGTGACACCCAGTTTCTCTCCCCCAGCACTTATCATACTTTGTAATCATGTATTTGGTTTTCTTGTTTACTGTCAGTTTCCATCACTAAATCGTAAGTTCCAAAACTGCAGGAACTATAGCTGTTTTAATTATCGATATATACTTGGCTCATAGCAGTCACTCAATTAAAAATCTGGTGAATAAAGAAAACCTTAGATCAGCAAACACATGTCCAAATATTTCTACTGAATAGTTATTTCTACTCAGTAAGGAGGGAACACTGAATAAGCAAGAAGAAAGCAGTCTCTTAACTCACCTCTCTCAATGGGTCACGTAAGTAGCAATCAATAATTTTGTCATATTGGTGTTCTCGTTCATACATAAATTCACAAATTTGATAGCTAGAATGTAAAAGAAAAACTTCAGTGTACCAAACAGGCAGGTGGTTATTAGCTTATTGTTTTGATAAGTTTACTCAGACAAGCAAGTTAGTATTAAGAAAAATGAATATAGCAGATGTGATTTCTACTGTTAAAGTTATGTTAAATATCTAAGGGAGATGAGTATCTGCCATTTCTCTACCTATAGGTTTAAGGTGCTGCTGAATATTATTATGTTTATAAGAAATTTCAAAGCTGGGTACAAAAAAGATATTAAAGCAACATAAGAAATAGTCAATATGTTAGATATCAATTGATAATTTGTAAACATTTTCTATAAAGTTTCTTTGTTCGGAATTAAATCTCAAATAAAACATTCAACGAACTAGATAAATAGCAGTGTTAGCATATTGTATCTTATCTCCTATGTCAAATTTTGCATTGTTTCTAAAATACTTAAGATAATGGTCAAAAGTCTATGAAATACTATAGAAATATTAAAGAAAAAATCAAAATACTAAAACAGCATACACTGCTATTCCACTTTCATATTAAAACAATTGTACAAACACTTCAAATTTACCCTGCCAATTTCTGCAAATTTAAGTAACTTCTGGAACTCAACTGAAAGGCAAAAACTTTTGCACTTAGGTTTTTTTTGTTGTCATTATTTGTATAACCTTTCCTAATTAAAAAAGCAGGAATGCATCAATAAACTGGACTTCACGTTAGAGAAATGTAATTTAATAGTTTTGTAGAAAACTAATATATGGCTGCAAAACAACTTACAACTCAGCTTTTTCTGCCATACGGATGAGCCGACTCTCTTCAAATTGAACTATGCCTCCAGCCTGCAGCAATTCTAAAAGGACCTGAACATTTAAAATAAATGAATGAGAACACTTTGGAATTTACTAGCTCTTTAAGAGTGCATTCAGCCATGTAGACCATAATTTTTTTTTTTCTTTTGCTTTCTTACTTGATGATATTTTGGCTTGCTTTCCCATAGCAAGGGGTAGACTAACATTATAATGTTGATCATATTGTAGTTATGTCTTAGAAAAAGATCAATGGCTCTGCTTTTTAAACATGGAAGGAATGCCACAGTGTTTGCAAATAAGCCCTTAGAACACTGAACTGACCCTCCACTAAGCTGAACATGTCTGCATATATCCTTTTAAGAAGTGAGATTTTGTCTCACTTTTATGTCTTATGGTTCTTTAAAAATCTGTCATCCACAGGTAGTATCCACGCTTACATGTTAAATTTTTAAAATTAATCATTGAGATTTTTCACAGCAACACTTTTCAAAATAGGCAAAAGGTAGAAAATATCAAAGTGTCCATCAATGGATGAATGGATAAACAATATGTGGCATAAACATACAATGGAATATTATTTAGCCTTAAAAATGAAGAAAATTCTGATACATGCTACAACATGGATGAACCTTGAACACACTATACTAAGTGACATAAGCCAAACACAAAAAGACAAATACTGTATTATTGCATCAATACTTTCATGAGATATCTACCGTAGTCAAACTCATAAAGACAGAAAGCACAATGGTGGTTGCCAGGGTATAGGGGAGGAGAGCGTAAGGAGTTATTGTTTAATGGGTATGGTCATTCAGTTTGCGAAGATGAAAAATTTCTTGAGATGGATGGTAATGATGATTGTACAACAATGTGAACGTCACTGAATTGTACACTTAAAAATGGTTAAAATGGTAAATTTTACATGATGTATATTTTACCACAATAAAATAAAACAAAAATATTGGGGTTCATACAATTAATTTTTACCAAACTAAGTGGCTGAAATGAGGGGGTCCACATTACTATTTGTATTCAGTGTAATTTAAGAGTAACCAAGGCATGAAAAATTACCTATGGGATACAATGTACACTACTCAGGTCATGGGTACACCAAAGGCTCAGACTCCACCACTATATAATATATACACATGATAGATTTCAACTTATACCCCATAAATCTATTTTTTTAATTAAAAAAAAACAGTAGCCAAAATTTTAGCAGCTGTTCTCCCTCCTAAGATAGTCTGAAGCAGTCACTGGGCAACAGCTATGCAAAGAAAGGGTCACTATTGCTATCCTATGATCTTTAGCTGAGTCTCAACTTCCTGGCTGTGCATTATTACCATAAAAAATCAGCACAGCTCTCAAAGTATTTAATTTTTGTATTTTACTTACCTGACCAAGTCTGGCTATCAATACTAAATGGGCTGACACTCTAAGTGCTCACAATTACAGTGGGTAAGCTTTTAAAGAATCCTACTCCTAGAAAGGACCTTCAAGAAAGTGGCATAAATAGAAGTGGTAATCAGACAGTTATTACTTCACAATAACTAGTGGAGGAACAGATGACTTATAGTCTCCAGAATGGTCAGCTCTAATGCAGTGAGGTTTTAGGACACTCTCAAAAGTTGAGTGGACCAATACTCAGGATCCTGCAGCTTTTCTGGTTCAGGACCATAGCAGCTAGCAGAGGTTACCAGATCAATGACACTGACGGAATGCAGGGTATAAACAAGTGCTAACTGTGGCTATGTAATGCAGAAGGGTGAAGTATTTTCTTTGACGTCATGGTGGAAGCAAGACAGGTCCAGTCTACCTAGGAATTTAGTTTGATATAAGCTCCTTATAACCGTACTTCCAACAACCGTCCACTCTATTTTCTGGTTGCCACTAACTTTAGCTTAATATTAGGGTTTGGTACAAGTCATTCCCCCTTATGTCTAGTGAGGTCTAGCACAGAAGAATTTTTTCCAGCTTACTCTGTCTTTTTTCCCACGCTTTAGCAAAAACAATTCTAGTAGTTCATACCTGCTGTCTTTCAGAGTGTCGGGAGTCATCGTCAGGACTACAAAGGAATTCAAGGACCTAGCCAAAGATAAAATATTTTTTATTTGATACCAGCACTCAAGCCATAACACTGTCATAATAAAAACAATAATTATCCTTTCAATATCACCAATTCATCCATACCCAGCAATAACAAATACCACAAGCGTATAGTGTTTTCCCAACTGACTGGCCTAGTACACGAAACATCAGGTTCAGGTATGCTAACAATTTCATATGTGTCTTAGACACATATTTCTATACTTTTAGAAATATAACACTAGAAGGCAGTGTTATCTATATACCTTATGTTTAAGTTCCCTGATACCATGGACCAAGCAAAGCATGGACTTAGGAATCAGGCCACTTGAATTTGAATACTAACCTTATTAATACTTAATAACAACATTTATTGCTAATAATAATACTTACAAGTATGACCTTGGATAAATTACTTAATCTCTCCAGGCTTATAGTTTCCACATATAGTTTCCTTATATGTAAAATGGGAATAATTGTCCCTATTTCAGAGCTGTTGGGAGGATTGAGTTCACACATACATATAAATAAAGCTTTGGAACAATGCCTGCCACTGTAAAGTGCTTAGTATATCCTAGTCGTTATTAGCTACTTTCTCCAGACAAAAAATACTTTCTTTGTCACCTATAGATATGTAGGAGATATTTAACTGGGATTAGGAGATTATCTTCAGAGTCAAAATCATTTGTAAGTAAATTCAGATTTTCCAAAAGTAATCTCTTCTTCAGTTGTTCGTCATCAAAGTCTTACTATCAGTGAGATGGGGTACTTAAACTGGAAAATTCTTGAGCAAAGAATTCTAGGCAATTTAGATCAACAGAATAATTGAGAGAACAGAATTCTCTATAAACCAATCTTCACAAACCATACTCCCATGATACCAGGTTAGTAGGCAAAGTCATACTACCTGGAACACATCATTAAGACACACACACACACATACACACACCTATTTAGATTCAAAACCTGAACAGGCCTCTCCTTGATAAGACATCTATTCAATAGTCTGTCATATTAAGAAACAGTGTAATGCAGTGAACTCTGTACAGTATACAGAAGAAATTTCTAGTTCTCATTGTTAAAGACACTTACCTGATCAAAAAGCGTTCTATTTACGAACAAGGTATTGTCAGGCTTTGCAAGCTGCCGAGCGAGGAATGTAAAGAGACACCCTACTTGCGAGGGAGTAAAATCTGAATTCTCCACCATAACCTGATGAGCAAAAGAGACCATTTATTCAATAGACCATCTGGCTTGATGCAAAAAACCCACATACAATTAGAAGCGGGGGAAGCCTCATTACTGAAGACTCATGAAAAGATTCTTTTACAGACTGTGCAACAATTGAGTTCAATACCACTTAGAGAAGAAATACAACTACTTGCATACTCTAACAGGGAAACAGTTTAGTGGTTTTTGGCATTTTTCTAGCACAATTTGGATGAGAACTGAATTGTCAGAGATGTGGATGTAGAATTTCAAAGAAATATTACTCATGTTTCCCTCAGGAATTCTTAGAGAATCCTATTAAAATT